TCACAGTGCCATGATAATGCCTTATCATTTAGTACTTACTCTGTGAGCAATTGGGAGTTGTTCAAAGCTTGTATGGCCCGAGAGCTTCTACTCATGAAACGGAATTTCCTTCTCTACATATTCAAAACAGCTCAGGTTTACTGCCTAATGATATCACTTTTAGGGGTTGTACTTCTCAAGTTAAACTCAAAATCACTTACTATATTTTCTTTCTCTTTTTTCCTACAGCTTGTCATCACTGCATTTATTACAATGGCAATCTGTATAAGCACCCTTAGGACCTCGGATTTGATAAATGCAAGTTTTTTGATGAACTCATTGTTTGATACACTTATTCGACTTATGACCAACGGGGTTGCAGAGTTGTCCTTGACTGTTACTAGATTACCAGTGGTTTACAAGCAAAGAGGATTCAATCTGTATCCAGCATGGGCGTATTCTCTTCCAGCCTCTATCCTGAAGGTTCCATTTTCAGTGATTGATTCACTGCTGTGGACAGCAATAACTTACTATTTGATCGGGTACGCTCCAGACATAAAAAGGTAAGATCTCAACTTTATAGTCACACGACAGAACATGAAGGGCTTGAACAATAATCCTAATGATGCCTCAAGAATGTGCTATGGTTTTTAGGTTCTTCTGCCAGTTCCTTGTGCTAGTTGCTCTCCATCAAGCATCAACATCCATATGTCGTTTAATTGCTGTAGTTTTCCAAACTATGGTTGTTGCATCAACTTGCGGTATTTTAATCTTAGTGCTAATGTTTTTATCCGGAGGCTTCATCTTGCCACGATGTAAGTCCATTTATCGTATTTTTCCTTTAGTTACATGCAACTACAACTAGACTAATAAGGGGTGTTTTTGCATCCTCTTTACCTCCTGGTTGCGTTGGTTATTCTGGTGTTCACCTATGACTTATGGGGAAATCGGTACAACTCTAAACGAGTTCCTCGCCCCTCGCTGGCAAAAGGTACAACTCAAGATGATAAACTTTTTTCGTACCTGATCATCGAAGTCGAATAAGTGTTTTCACAGTGTTAATTCATTTTTTTAGGTCTCAGAGGGAAACACAACCCTAGGGAATAAAGTTCTAACCAGGCATGGTTTGAACTTTGATGGCTATTTCTATTGGATATCAGTAGGAGCATTACTCGGGTTCACAATGCTGTCTGATCTTGGATTTATTTTAGCATTAACTTACTTAGACCGTAAGTTCATTTTAATTGACAGATGATAACTTAAGTATTACAATCCACTTCATCAGTTTACTTAAGCTTTTCCTCATCCAGCTCCAAAGGTGTCTCAGGCTATTGTTTCGAAAAAAAGATTATCTCAACTTCGAAGAAGGGAAGCTCGCAAAACTGGTGCATGGTTGGAAAATGAATCAACTCTATCCGATTTATTCAAAACCATGGGAGAAAATATAACACTAGGTGAGATGAATTGTTACATCCAGTTTATCCGGGTTATCAGTTTCACATCTTCCATTCAAAGCAACGAGCAAGGACTTTTTTTAACAACTGAATTATTCAACTGTAAATCAATTTGTTAAACGGGGAGCATGGTCCTGCCGTTCGAGCCACTGACAATCTCATGGATGCTCTTTCTGGAAGGAAAACAGGAGGTAGTAACGTGGGAGATATAAGAGTCGGAGGGTACCCCAAGGTCCAGAAGACATTTGCAAGAATATCAGGATACTGCGAGCAGACTGATATACATTCTCCACAGATCACAGTAGAAGAATCACTTATGATCTCAGCTTGGTTGCGGGTGCCACACGAAACTGATCCAGACATAAAAGCTGTAGGATGATATTCTTTCAATTTATCAATAATATGCGAATTTCCTAGAACATATTAAAGTATCCTTTGCTTAATCTATGCAGAAATTTGTGGAGGAAGTCATTCAAACGATTGAACTGGAGGATATAAGAGATTCCTTAGTTGGCATTCCTGGACAAACTGGCCTATCTACCGAACAGCGCAAAGGGCTAACAGTTGCAGTGGAGATTGTATCCAACCCATCAATAATATTTATGGATGAACCCACGTCAGGCTTAGACGCCAGAGCAGCTGCAATTTTCATGCGCGTAGTAAAGAATGTTGTTTCCACAGGAAGGACAACTGTTTGCACAATCCACCAGCCAAGCATTGATATTTTTGAGTCATTTGACGAGGTAGTATAACGAGCATTGTCATGGAGTCCAAGAAAACTAAACCAAATCATAAAAGCCACTCGATCACTAACGGAAGACATTGATTTTTGCAGTTAATTTTGATGAAAGGGGAGGCCAAATCATCTCTTCTTGAGTTCTCGGTCATCACTCGAGTAAACTCGTCAAATATTTTGAGGACATTCGTGATGTACCAAAGATCAAAGAAAATTACAATCCAGCAACTTGGATGTTAGAAGTTAGGCAAAACTTTGTTTAGATTTTGCTGAAATTTATAAATCCTCTACTCAGTATAGGTAAGGGCATATCTCTAATATTTCCTTTATTTTAGGATTAATCATGTATTTATTTCAATCATCAAATTTATATGCTTGTTTCCTTCTTTTTCAAAGAGACACGGTCGAGTTGGTTAGCCGGTTGAGCGAACCAAACCCGGGTTCAAGGGGCTTGAACTTTCCCACTCCTTTTGCTCAAAATAGCTGGGTGCAGTTTTGAGGCATGTCTGTGGAAACAACACTTGTCCTACTGGAGAAGTCCAAAGTACAATCTAGCACGTTTCGCGTTTATTTTCGCTGCATCAGTGTTGTTCGGAACAATCTTTTGGCAGAAAGGGAAGGAAATGTAAGCCCCGACCCATTTCCACCCTCTTCATACCATATATTTCACAGAGAAAAGAAAAACAAAACTACACTAAATCCTGTGTTTTTCTTGTTCCTCGAGAAACAATGAGCAGGATTTGTTCAACGTGCTTGGGTTACTGTACGTTGCTGTAATATTCTTGGGCACAACCAATTGCTCGACGGTTCTGCCTTACGTGGCTACTGAGCGCGCAGTTCTGTACCGGGAAAGATTTGCTGGGATGTACTCATCAAACGCTTATTCGTTTGCACAGGTTTGTACATTTTAACTGGTACTATAACGTAGCTTGTAGTGGGAAGGTTTTTAACATGTCGAAATTTTGAATGTTGTTGTAGGTGGCCATTGAAATACCTTACACAGTGGTTCAAGCAATTTTGTATGTCATTATTACATACCCTACAATAGGGTACTATTGGTCAGCTACTAAGGTTTTCTGGTACTTCCATGCAACATTCTCTCCATTTCTCTACTTTGTATACCTTGGGATGCTAATAGCTTCTTTTAGCACAAGCCTGCAAGTAGCTTCCAGTTTCGCAACGGCAATCTACACCATATTGAATCTATTTTCCGGCTTCCATGTGCCCGGGCCGGTAACTGAATCTAACTCTCTCTTTAGGCCTGCTTGAGATTGCTTCTAGAAAGACTAAAAGAGTATGTAGTAAAAATTGAAGAGCTTTTATGGGAAGCCCTCCCAACTGCTTTTCTAGGAAGCATTTTGCAACGTAACTCTATTAAACAACTTATAGAAAAAGTATCATTTATAAGCAAAAGTTCTTTCTACAAAAACAGTACTAAACGGACCCTTAATATGGCGGTTTACAGTGAGCCTACCTGACCATGTTCCATATATATATATTTTATGCAGAAATTCCCAAGTGATGGATTTGGTTCTATTGGATTTCTCCTACATCATGGTCCCTAAATGCCCTCCTCAGTTCACAATATGGAGACATGAACAAAGAGATTTTGATTTTTGGGGAGCAGAAAATAGTTGCTTCCTTCCTTCAAGATTACTATGGCTTCCATCATGATCGTTTATTCCTCGTGGTGATTGTTCTCATTGCTTTCCCCATTGTTTTCGCTTCACTTTTCGCCTTTTCTGTAAGGAAATTAAATTTCCATAGGTAGAAATGGTGAGTCCTCTCATTGACGATGTTTGTATTCGTCTACGTACTCTTGTTTTTAAACTTAGCCATTCATGTATTAAATAAAGTTATCTTAGCCGTTCAATACTTGTCGAAACTATCCTATCTTCGACTGGAAAGTTGGTACAATTTTTGTAAATGGTGATTCAAATGGAATATATAGGGGGTTATGTGCTTTTGTGAGCTAAAAACTTCTTTGACTTTCTATGATACGAGATAAACTTGTGTACGGTTTCTAATTAGGTTAGCTATTTCAACGAGTGAGACTAGTTTGAGACGAGTGAAACCAAAATACAAGAGTTTTATGCTTTTGCGAAAGCTTCTCTGTGAATAATCGGGTTTAGATGCCATAAGGAAAACTAATAAAAATAACTTGAAAATTTTGAATTTTAACGATAATGACAAAATAAATAGTAAAGTGAATAGTACCAGGATTGACTTTTTAGTGTAAAAATGTGGTTTTTCATTAAAGTAAACAGTACCGAGAACTTTTTGTTAAAATTCCCTTATTTATAATGTGAGGTAAGATGAGACCAAAAGACGACAATTAATAACTCATTACGATATAAGTCTTCTCTTCTTACACAAGAAAGAGTAAACAATTCAATATTTCTTTTCAACCAAAAAGCACCCTGTTTGCCTATCTTTACAAGTTTACCGGTAGAATAACCTCCAGGTCACGAATACATTCATCGCTCTTTTATCTCTCTCATTACGTGATAAAATCATATTAGTTAACGCACCATCATGTCATTGTCCAAACCACTTTGGACATATTCTTGACTCCACACGCCAGCATCCAAGTAAAATTTATTATTATTCAACGTTACTGATATTGTTTATTACACTACCAATGTTGATTGTTAAACCATGAGTGACATTTGCACAATAATGCACTACTCAAAAGTCAATATAACAAAACTTACATCTTTGATCAAATTACCCCTAGGTTTTGTTGAGCCGGACCCTTAAATTTTGGGATAATTCCAGATCAATTGTCTACCTCAAGTGCCAACACATTCGAACAACAGCAGCACAAAATGTACGGAAAAGAGCGATTAATTTTCAAAAACAACGTGTTTACAGACCACCTTCCATAATTGTCCAGCAGCTGCTGCAGACAATATATACGTGAAGTTACATTCAAAACATTTCAGGCAATAACAAAAAGCAATTCCTCTGTTGAACACAGTTAAACACTCTTACAAATCGTCGTACAATTTTGCATGCTAGTTTAGAGATCGCATCAAGTTTGGAGAGAGACACTTATCAACTCTGTATGTACAATCATTTTCCACAAAGTTTCACACGGGTTATCAGTCTATCAGATCAATCCATACAGTCCTTGGCCAGAAACATAAAATTGGAGGAAGCAGCATTGCTAACACCCATCCGAGAATGGAAATGTTTGATTACCTGATCGATCGGCAATTTCACAATAAGAGTGTGCTGCTGCATTAGAAGAACTGCGGGGAACGGAGTTGCCCTGTGAGATTAGGGATTTTTGGAGCATACTGTTGCCTCCAAAGATCTCAACTAGACAACACTGCCAGACTCAGCTCCAGAAGCCTGATCACTTCAATTATCTTCAAAACTACTCTGATCACTTTGATTATCTTCAAAACTACTCTGATCACTTTGATTGCCTTCATCACTAATCTGATCACTTTGATTGTATTCGGCACTAATCTGATCACTCTGATTGTCTTCGGCACTAATCTGATCATTTTGATTGTCTTCGACACTAATCTGATCACTTTGATTACCATCAGCACCAATCTCCTGCTTCAAGTAGTAGATCTTGTCGTTCATACCTTCCTTACTATATGCCTCAACCATGACAGAGTATGTTGTGGAATCCGCTTGACATTGCTTCTCTTTCATCCGATTGAAAACTCTTTCCATCTCCATCAAATCCTCTGCCTTTGCACATGCAGCTATCACCGCATTGTAAAATGTGGTATTCTCAGGTATCTCAAACTTTCCAGCCAACTGAACGCAGCTAACCACCTTATGGAAGAGGCCTGCATTGGCATACCCATTAATAAGGCAGCAGAATGTTTTGGTGTCTGCTTTCATGCCCTCAGCACGCATCTGTTCAAATGTGTATTCCATGTTTTTTGCATCTCCTACATCCGCGAAAGCCTCTATCACATTGTTGTAAGTTGCGGTTGTCCATGGGAATTGAAGCTTGCGCATGTACTCCATCACAGTTGACATCTTATCATACAGCCTTTTCTTCCCGTAAGCACCAATCAGAATGTTCAAAGTGCGAGTTTCCGGCTCAATCCCAAAATCACGGAATTTCTCATACCATCTCTCCATCATATCTATCTGACCCTTGTTTCCAAACACGCTAAGGATAACATTCATTGTCCAGACATCAGGCTTGCAACTTGTACCCTCCAGCATCCCGGACAACACTTTTTCCATCTGGTCATACTTCCCGGCCTTACCATATCCACTCAACACTATGTTTTGGGTGACTGTATTCGGAGTTATTAACCGCTCAGCCATTTCCTCATACAAGGACTCAACTAAATCAAACTTCAAATGATCAACGCAAACCTTTATCAAGGTACTGTAAGTAAAAACATCAGGCTGGCATTGCGGGAGAGTCTTCATCAGGTTAAGAACAGAAAATGCCTCGTCAATCAGATTATTCCGGCAATAAGCCGCGAGCAAGGCTGTGTAAAGTTCAAGAGTTGGTTCACAGCCCTCTTCAACCATTGTATCGAAAAGCTGGCGGGCACGATTGGGTTGGCCGCACCTTCCAAGCATACCAATGAGCTTCATGTAAGTCCCTTCTTTCGGTTGATAAAATGGTTGTTCTCTAAGCATGTCAAACACCTGAACGTAATAGTACCCAATTTCATCATACATTTTCCAAACAAAGACACCCAATTAATTATAATTCCACTAAAATCATTCAGATAAAAAGATTACATTTTTCAAGAACATGGTTCAAGAAACTAAATTGGTAAGCATAAAAATACCATTTTTTAAAATTTTGCATCAATTTACATTCACCAGACTAAAAGCACACAAGAAAAAAGATGAAAAATTTCTTAATTTTTGTTTAGATTAAGGGCAAAAACCTCAAGAGCTTGGAGCCACTGCTTCTTGTCAATGGCGTCTGACAGGGCCTCCGTGACGGTGTTGACCCAGGCCTTGGCATTGTTCTTCCGGTCCAGCTTCTTCTTCACATTTTTCAAAGGGGGTTTTCTATAAATAGCCGGAATCGACGTCTCCGAGACCCCCGGGAATTCCCCTTGCTTCCAGTGCTTCTTTTTGTTGTCGGAAGACGGATATGAGGCGGAACGAGCGGAGGTTTTTCTGTAAGTCGCCGGTGTCGACGTCTCCGAGACGCCCGGGAACTCACCTCGCTTCCAGTGCTTCTTTCTGGTGTCGGAAGACGGAGATGAAGTGGAACGACCAGGGGTTTTTCTGTAATTCGCCGGAGCCGACGTCTCCGAGACGCCTGGGTATTCACCTTTCTTCCAGTGCCTCTTTCTGGTGTCGGAAGACGGAGATGGAGTGGAGCGACGGCTTACAGCTGGGGTGGCGAATGCGCGGAGGAGCAGCTTAAAGTTGGGGTATTGGGGTTTCTGGGAGGCTGCGGCGGCAGCGGTGGCGGTGGCGGTGGAGTTTTTGTTGAGAGGAAGAGGATGAGGAAGGAGAGAGGAAGAGAAGGAGAGAGAGATTGAAGAAGCCATGGATGGCTTGGCCTGCAAAATTGTTAGAGCAGTGAGGTGGATTTTAGAAGGCAGGGCATGCAAATGACCTCTTTACCCTTTATTTTCTTATCCTCTATTTTTTTTTTTTTCTTGAATTTCAGAAAATAAAATTTGAATAAATTACACTTTTTCAGGTCTGATTTGGGGAAAGTAATTCAAATAAGATAATAATTATGGTACTGGTTGGAATAGTGTGCGTTGATACTTGTACTTATGTAAAGTCAGATATTATCCAAATGCAGTGAGAGCTGTTCATTTGAAAGAGTCTCATGTTTTTATGAGAAGCGTGTAACGAATGTGAATGTGAGTGCGTGACGAATGACGTGAGCAGCTTCATTAAAGTTTTTCTCGAACTATTAATAAATTATTTGAATAAAATAATGATTTCATATGGAAACATGAACAAATTCATCTAAATGATTAAACTAATAAAATTAGAAAATAATTCAATCTCAATTTGCACTAAAAATGAAATAATGCACTAACAATAATTCTCAATTCCAAAATTCTTCTATACTTAACCTTGTTTAGTGTGCTTATGCTTATATGAGCTCAATTAATGGAGGAGGGTATGGTAATAAGTTAGAATTAGAGTGGACCAAAATTCGATTTCCTTCAATATAACCAACAAAAATGCTGAATTTTCAAAAATTAAAATTTAATTTATACAGTAAATGCAATAATCAAACACCGAATCACCTCGTGCCAAATGTTTATTTTGATAAAAAAAAAAAGAAAAGAAAAATCAAACAGATAAATTATGTGTCATCCAGTTTGTAACACTGTTATACAAATACAAACACAATCAAACCTGGTGGGCCAAAATCCATAGCAGCCCATGTTTATTTTGGAAGCTTAGGTATACAAATACAGATACGATAGTCGTTCCCGACCCTCGCAAAGCGAAGAGTCGTGTTGGCTTGAGCGGCCCTAGATATACATATAAAAATCAGATATAAAATATACTCCTATCTACGTGAAAAGAAATGGTCTATGTATAACCAGAGTCACTATAAATTAATACATGTAAACTATAACCTTAGCTTGAACCAAACTTCAAGTGTTCCCACCGGAATGGCTCCAACACGAAAACAACTTCCGGATTGCTTTTAAAGAGCAAGGCCACGCAAACGCAGACAGCAGCGACAGCCACCATTGACAGCATTGCCGGCCTGTACACAAGTGACCGTGTGGTGCTATAAGCTGGTTTATGTTCACATAACCTGCAGTGTCGTAAGATTGCTTTTATTTCATTCTTTTCAGTTTCCAAGCTGGCTACTCTTGATGATTTATGCGCATCCGATTGCTTCTGCTTTCCATTTCTGTCTAACGTGAGGCCAGGGATGTCAAGCACCACATACCCCCTTTCCAGTGTATTGCTGATTTTCCGCTGAACTATATGGACATAGGAGTAGCGGCTTCGAAGGCATGCATAATCGTATGGTGTCAATCCTCTGCTGTCTCGAGCGTTTTTCCATGCTTTAATTCCCACCTAAAGAAAAAGACGCCCATATCAACATGATGAATGGATTATCTGATGCTAAAGAAATTTCATGACGGCAGTCCTAAACACATGCTTGAAAGTTGAAACTAGAACGATGAAACGAATCAAAATTCATTTATCGTCAAAAAATTTAACAGCAGTCCTATTTGATTTCAAGTTGAATGTAGAATTTGGGTGCCTGCTTTCAGCTGTGAAAGAGTTAGCATGCATTTAGATGTGGGGCGCTGCTTTCTTTCCCAATTTGAATAGTGCATTTAACTTTTCTACGGTGATTTATGTTTCATATGTTTCTCAAGCCAAAGAAAATACAAGACTGCATAATTTGTATAGGATTGGTTAATTGAAAATTTGAAATACAACTCAATAACTGGAATCAGTGTATTTTGTTTAGGCAGAAGACAGTGGAAGAGCTAAAGAGAGAGCTCAAAGTCAAAGAAGACATGATTGCAGATCTAAAATCCGTGAGCAACCTGACATGCTTGAAATTAGAATGAGTTAAAAGTATCAACACACGTGTGAAACAGTATGAGAACAGACACAAGTCAACTGTAGGAGCAAGAGGTCAAATGGGTATGGAGATGGGATAGAGGTTGTAGCCAGCGTAAAGTGATTTCTACATAGAATTAGAAGAAAAATATATTATGTTGCAATTCGAAAAAAGAGAGATTACCTTTCCAGGATCATCCGTTAAGGCATCCAATACTTGCTCACAGCCATCAGTACTGGCGGCAATATGAAGAGGAGTCAACCCCATGGGCCCAACAACATCAGGTTTAAACAAGAAACTGTTGCCATCCCTGTCAACTTGTTCCTTCTGCTCAGATCCTGTTAAACCTGGGACAAATCTTAACAAGAATTCCACCATACGCCTGCTATTGATTCGCACAGCTCTGTGGAGGAGGCCCATATCCAGTAGTGCAGACTCAAGGGAAGGATGCTCTCCAGCGTCGACAGTACCATCAAACAGAATGCCCAAGAGTTTCTTCACCACAGCACACCAATCATGGTCAATGGAGAACTCCATGAGCAATCTGAACCGTCCAGAGGGAAATGTATCTAGATTGGGATCCAATTGACCCAGTCTAAACTTAACGCGACTTCTATGTAGGAGCCAACCCAATTCATGTATAAAGTCCAAGGCTTGGTTCTTAGCTTCCACTTTTTCAGGTCCAGATTGGATATCATCATCAGTCTCGGACACCTCAATCACATCTTCCAGCATACAAATCTCAGAGCATACTTCCTGCTCTGCAACTATAAATGGAAAGAAGCTACTGCTAAGACCATGATCTTCAACCTGACATAAAAATTTGACCAATAAAATGAGAACCGTCGATTTCAGTTAAGGCACTGTCTTGAAACAAATCTATACTCAGTATTCATAAGAAAGATTTATAAACAAATTCTGGACTTATAAAATACAGCTTGTTCAAAATGCACATTACAAGAGGAGGAAGGGGGAAAGGGACAATTAGGAATATGACAGCACCTCAATGAATCCTCGCCCAGTAACATTTGGTATAGAGCAGGAGAATTTAAGGCATTGCTGTTCGTCATCCTCAACAGTGCTATCCGCATCATCCAACAAGTCATAACAAGTTTCTTGAGCCAGATACTTCCCTTCTAGAGCACAGAGTAACCTGTCATGACTCAAGATCTAGAATTTAGTATTTCTTCTGTTATCCTATAAAACTAGAGAGGAATATTGAAAACAAAGTAATGACGCATGAATGAAAGATGAAAGAACCTTGTGGTGGAACTAGAAAGGTTAAAGCCTTTTACTACAAATTCAGCTCTCTCAGATAAGGAGATCGCAATTGGTTTGATGCATGATATCCTGCAACTTTTATTGCTTTTAAGAGGCAAGGGTGTGTCTAACACAACTTCACCTGCAGGATGGACATAACTAATCAAAATGCTTCTCTCTTTTTTGGTCAATCCTCATTATGTACTAGAAATAACAAAACAAAGCATGACCAAAATCAATAAAGCATAATGGAAAACTAAAACAGCAAGATTCTTCTATAGACCCTAAATACACAAATGTGTACACAGAGAGAGAGAGAGAAAGAGAGAGAGAGAGAGAGCAAACCATTGTATGTAAATGCTACAAAATCTTGCACCCTTGTATACACCCATCCTGTTCTCCAAAAAGGATCATCCGCAGCATCAAGAAGTGTTTTCAAACTGGATCCCAGATGACAACAGAACTGTACGCAAAAATAATTATAATAAGATGTAAATCTATCATAATTAAGGACTTGAAGAAAAAGTCTTCCCCATACAAGAATCTGCCATCCACAGTCGAGCATACCTCCTCCCACGTGGATTTTTCTAGACGAAGGTAAATTGTCAAAATGATACAGCCCGGCCTTATGTAGCTTTCAATGTTGGTAGGGCTGTGAGATAACCAGTCAAGGATCTGGATATTCAAATAATTTATAAAAATCATGTAGTCCGTGGAATGAAACACCAAAATACTTTGAAAACTAGAAAAATCAAAGGAAATATAGTACCTGTGATCGCAGAGCAAGTGGAAGTTCATTAGGGTCTTTTCCAAATAGTTTAAAAACAATTCGGTCTGTGTGACTCTGATATGTGGCAGAAAAAGAGCGGTCAAGAAACATAAAATTGCAGATACATTCTACATACTGGCCTTTTACATAAATAATGCATGTTCCATTAGGACTGCTGTAACCACCAATTAACTTTAACCTCACTTCTATTAACAGCATCAAGAAGACGCATACACAACAAGTATGTGTGTGTGGTTGCGCTTGTAAACTGCCATATTGGTTTGAAGGAAGATATAACTGATCTCAACTTTAAGTCACAATTGAAGCATTTCTTACATATATCCCATAAACAAGCAGCGAGCGCACTTAACCTCGCCATTAATTTGACAATCCATGGATAGATACACAGACACGTTCAGAACACAAAACATGACTGCCTAACTACTCTCAAGGATAGAACAAAGCTATTCTACTATCCAAACAAAAGACAAGTTATACGCCGTATAATGATTAATGACAATTGACATATTAATCCCTGTTCTCAGGATACAAAAAAAAAAAAAAAAAAAAAAAAAAAAGACGAATTACAGTGGGCTGAGCATCATCCACGACAAAGGCATTTTTAAGCATTATATTACCAAGCAATTCTATATGGAATAGATGCAATTACAAGGAAATACCTGAGCTTCTCCACTAGAACTTGATGGTGACTGAGTAGAAGTTAAGTCTGAATTCCCGCTTGTCTGAGGTGGACTTGATTTATGAGAATCACGCTGCATCCATGAAGGAAAACCAAGAGATGCAGTGCCTGGACTTGCAGGAACATGAGAATTCCCTAGGTTCTCTACATAGTCCTGTGAATCATCGTATGTATTGTTTAAATCAATGTCATTTAACTGGAACCTTCTACTTGCAGCTTCCGGTGTAACTGATTTGGATTCAGAACTGTCTCTTGACACAGGTAGTATCGGACAGTGTCCTTTAGACCTTAAAGGGTCCTCAGTATTAACACCAGCATTCATATCTAGAACCTTTCGTGCAGTCTGGACAGATGTCCCACTGTTAAATAAACCTTGAGATCCCTGCAGCAATGTAGATATGTTTCTTCCATCAGCCGTATCAGCAACATTGGCTAAGCTCCTCAACAAATGAGATACGACATCCTGATCCTTTGTTTGATCAGAACTACTAGCTGCAATTTATAAATGGCATAATATGTGGATTCAAATAAGTCTGAGATACAATGTTTCACTAAGACAGAAGTGTACAATGAATAAGGCAAGTACTTACAGTGCATATTTGAGAGTATTCTCAGCAAGCTAATCAATAGATAACTGCTTCCGCTTTCATTGTTTAAAGAGCCTCCATTAACTGCAGTATCAGGATGTGCTTTTCTTCTCCTCCTATTATGGCCAGCCAAACGCCTACGGCAACTTCTCTTCCCTTCATCAAACTCTTGAAGAGCATGAAACCTGTCCATGAGTGTCAACCCCATTACACTTAATTCAACAAAAGAAAACTTCTGCAGAACTCAACAATACCAAAAGAAGATTGATGAACAGCCATGGACAACAAACGCATGACAAAAAAATTTACACAACCAAACTCTGTATTTCAAGTTAATTCAAGAAAATCGGGGAAATGTTTCAACCAAACAATGAATAACAATAGGATGGAACCAACCTGCTACACTGTTGACAGAACCGCTGCATAACACTTCCAACCAGCGCTTTAGTTGCCTTAGAATGCATATCACAGACCTTATGCCTCCGGTGATAATCCTTGGCATTGCTAAGATCAGCCTTACAGTCCTCCACCTGACAAACTGCACGGTTTGAAGTAGTCCCAATTGTCTTTGTTTTCTTCCCGGTTTGTACTTCTTCTTCCATAATGGGGTAAGTTTGCCCGCCAAGTTTAAGATTCAGAGACGCAGCTTCATCATTCAACTCTCGGTTTTCCACAAAAACATCCCTTCTCCGTTTCTCCAATTCTCTTTTATCTTTCTCATTCCCCGGACTGATATTATCCGAACCAGAAGAAGAACTGTTGGACAAACCAGCATCCGACGGAGTTTCTGGCCTGGCCGGAAACAACTGCCTACTCCTACCATCAGATGGTGTAGAATTCAATGGACTAGCAGTAAAAAGATCACCATCCCATTTAAAATCATTCAAATCCCATTCCAAACTCTTTTTCCCAACCCCCTTCAAATCCGGCACCATCACACCACCAAAATTGCGAGCCTTTCCTCCAAATTCAGACTCCATAGATCAAGATACAAAAAAACCCAGAAATGTTACAATGCCCCCTAGTCAAACTCCACCACATACAAACACCCAATTGAACAATAACAACAACAACAACAGCTCAGAGATAAAACTATAAATTTCACCCCAAAACAAAAAGTCAATAACACTACAGCCCCAGAAATTTCTGGAAATTGTTCTTTCCAAGAACCCCAGAAAACCAAGAACAGCACAACAGCATATCAATGGAGCTAAACTACAGGCTACAGCTGCCCAGAACCCAAAATCCACCAATTACCCAGTTTTCCTTTCAACATCTCAGTACAAAATACCGTATTTACAAGCCCATAATTACATCCTAGTCAATGCTTTCAACTCCATGGAAAGAAACTTGAGCTGAAAGAACTGAAAGACCCAATCTTTTTTTGTGGAAATAAAGAGGAGAGAGAGAGAGAGTAAAGAGAGAGAAACTTGCCGGCAGGTTGGTGAATTGTTGGGAGGTGAGCTGCGAAGTGAGAGCCGACGAAGAAGTGGCTGAGATCGCAGATGAGGCAGAGGGAATATAGGCCCCGGGACAAAGCTAATCAGCGCATGAAAATTAGGAAAAGGTTAGGAATAAGGCTCTCTTACAGTGTAAATGCGGTTTCAGTGGGGAGGGGGAGACAGAGAGAGAGAGGTGGTGGCCTCAAATGACGTGTCTCCTTTTGATTTCGGTTAGAAATTAACGTTACAAGTTACGAGGTGTATTATTTTAATATTTAAAGGGTTATTATACAAAATGATCTATGAGATTTGCATGATCAATAGAAATAGTCATTGAGAAAATCAATAGAAATGGTCATTGAGATTATCCATCATTCATGATTTTGGTCCTTTCGTTTAAAACAATTTAGGACAATTTTCAATTTTTTATAACTCAATCGTTTCTTAACCAAATTCGACCCATAATATATCAAAATGAAGATAGGAATGTGTAGAATAAGATTATACCTATTTGGAAGCCCAATGGTTGCTGGAGATGGCCGAAAAATAGATTGAAAGGTGATTGGTCTGCGGGAAAACTGGAAAATTCGTAGGAAACTGGGTAAACTTTAAACATTCATACTTCTTCAATACTCAACCAAATCGAGTGATTCAAAAATGAAAATAATACTTCTTGACAAGACAAAGAGAATGGTACCTTTTTCGAAGGCTAACTCGCCGTGATTTGGTCGAACAACAGCTCGAAAGTGGCTAACCATTTTCAAGTTAGCCAATTTTGAGCAGTTTTCCGGTCAAACCATGGCGATTTAGCAGTAAAGAAAGATTCCATTCTTTTCGTCTCGTCGAGAAGTATGATTTTCATTTTTTAATCACTCAATTTCGTTGAGCATTGAAGAAGTTAAGAACGTTTAAATTTACTCAATTTCCGGCGAGTTTTCCGGTTTTCCCGCGGACTAGTCACTTTTCAGGCTATTTTTCGGCCATCTCCGTCAATCATTGGGCTTCCAAATGGTATAATCTTGTTCTACGCTTTCTTATCTTCACTTTGATATATTATGAGTCGAATTTAGTTAAGAATCGATTGAGTTACGAAGCTTTGAAAATTGCCCAAAGGGTTTCTAACGAAATGACCAAAATCATGGATGGGTGACAATCTTAAGGACCATTTCTATTAATCATGCAAATCTTAGGGACCATTTTGAATAATAACCCATATTTAAATTAGCATTATTTCATTTTATTATAAGTGACATATAAGTCCAATTCTCGTCATATTATTGCTAGTTTATTGTGAGATTTAGCTCATTCTCACATTAGTGTAAATAATATAATTTGTTCAAAATAATAATAATAATAATAATAAGAGATGATCATATTTTTTTTTTATTACAAACGATATATTTTGTTAAATTATATATTAGATTAGTTATCGACGGAATTTGAACTCACACTGTCACGTAAAACTTCAACATCTTTCGACTACTATGGTATAGAGCCACTTGCAAAGATGATCATATGTTAAACATGCCTAGTCCGTTAATATTAGGCTTAATATTAAAAAATCTACGTAATATAATTTAAATGAAACAGTAGTTTTCCGTGAACGTGGTCTTAGTACACCGGAAATTGTTCCATTTCCAGATCAAGATTTAATGATTGAATTATTGGCAATTAAACCAAACAAAAAGGTTCAAAACGACAAAATAATTGAAGAAGACTAAACAAGGTAATAATTGTGTACACTATGTAAGAACCATGAATATGACTTATTGAAGTGGACAACAATCCGATGTCAAAATATGAGTCAACGTGTCTCTGTGACTGGACTCCTTTTCCTATTATATTATTAGCCTGTAAAATCTATTTTTCTGCTTTTTTTTTTTTTGCTAGCTAATATTAGACTTGGATTGGATTTGACCAAATTAAAAATATTAGGAGAAAAACAACCGTTTGATCTAATTTTGGTCCAATTTTATTCATAACGTTTGAGTTGAATAACTTAAAAAGTTGTCTCACAAAAGAACGACACTCACGTATCTAAGTATTATCATCCTACGTGAGTATGAACTCCTAAAGCACAAAGTTCCAACCTTTGTGAGACGGCCTTACCCCCTCATGAAGGAACGTGATAGGTATTTGGTCACCACCCAGCCTTACGTAAATACAACTCTCAATGCATAAAGTTTAGCAAGAGTAGTCTTACCTGCTTATTAGTCAAACTGCTGTACTAAATATTGTCTTCTGTTTAAGAAAGCCGTTTAAAAGCGAAAGAAATTTCAAGTCCGAATCTTCTGCCTCGTCGAATACAATGTTTGTAGGTGCTTTTGGACGTCATGCAGCAATATATTGCCTCAACAATTGGTAAATAGTTCTATTTACGTCAATCTTTCCCTATACATGCTTTATATGAACTGTCATTAATACATACAGCGCAACACCTCTCGTGGAAATCTTAACGGATACGAAAACTGGTACATTATGTTCCCTATAGAGTTATCGGTTTATACATATGATTAACAGAAACGGCCTAAAGCCAGAGTAACTAAAATTTGAGACGCGTAAACTGCCTTAGCTCGGTCCATACTTCAAGAGTTCCCACCTGAAGGGCTGGAAGACGTAAACGACTTCAGGCGAGCTTTTGAAGAGCAAGGCCACGCAAACACAGACAGCAGCAATGGTTACCATTGACAGCATTGCCGGCCTGTACACAAGCGACCTTGTGTTTCCATATGCTAGTTTCATTTCACATAGCTTGCAATGTGCCTGCATTGCTTTCATATCGATCCTTTCGGTCTCCAATCTGGAGACTTTTGAGGACTTATGCCCATCTAATTGTTTCTGCTTGCTGCTGCTGTCTAAGATAACGCCAGGGATATCAAGCACCACGTGCCCGCTTTCATGTTTCTTGTTGATTTTCCGCTGGACAATTTGGACATAGGTGTAGCGGCCTCGCAGGAATGCATAATCATTAGGTGTCAATCCTGTACTGTCTCGAGCATTTTTCCACGCTTCAATTCCCACCTAAAGAAGCAAAGATATCAACATTTGTATGCTTGAAAATAGAACGATTTGAAATATCAGCATTCATGTGAGACACAGAATGAGCTGACACAAGTCATTTGTATGAGCAAATGGTCAAACACGTACGGAGAAAAATGGATGATGATGCAGACCCGTTCTGATTTTTACATCCAATTAGAAAGAAAACTGTCAAAGAAGACAATGAGAAATTACCTTTCCAGGATCATCAGTTAAGGCATCCAATATGTTCTCACATCCATCAGTACTGGCTGCAACATGAAGAGGAGTCAATCCCATGGGCCCAACTGCATCGGGTTTAAATAAGAAGTTGCTGCCATCCCCGTCAACTTGTTGCCTGTGCTCGGATCCTGTTTTATCTAACCCTTTGTCTAGGACAAATCTTAACAAGAGTTCCACCATAGGCCTGCACTTTCTTCGCACGGCTCCGTGGAGGAGGCTCATATCCAATAACGCAAGCTCAATAGAAGGATGTTCTCCAGCGTCAACGGTACCCTCAAGGAGAATGCCCAGGAGTTTCTTCACTACAGCACACCAATCACGGTCCATGGAAAACTCCATAAGCAACCTGAACCGTCTAAAAGAAAATAGTTCTAGGTTGGGATCCCTGTGGCCAAGTCTAAATTTAGTGTGACATCTGTGAAGGAGCCAACCCAATTCATGTACAAAGTCCAACGCTTGGTTCTTGGCTTCCAACTTTTCAGGTTCTGTCTGGATATTATCTGCAGTCTCAGCCACCTCAATCGCACCCTCCAGGGTACAAATCTCTGAACATACTTCCTGCTCGGCAACTATAAATGGAAAGAAGCAGCCGCTGAGACCATGGTCTTCAACCTGAAATAAAAATAAATAAATAAGTAATGATAAGCACACTTCAAAGGAAATATAAAAGATATATTAGGAATGGAACAGCACCTCAATGAGTCCCCGGCCAGTAACAATGGGTATAGAGCAGGAGAATCTGAGGCACTGTAGCTGATCATTTGCAACGGTTGTATCAGCACCATCCATCAAGTCATAACAAGTTTCTTGGACTAGATAGTTCCCTTCCAGAGCACAGAGCAGCCTGTCACAAGCTAGGACTTAGTACTTTCCCAGTTATCCTGATAGTTATTAATTCAGAAATAACATATGACACTGGAGTGGTCTACATAATGAAGCTTGAATGAAAGACGAAGGATACCTTGTGGTGGCACGAGAAAGATTAAACCCCTTTACTACAAATTCGGCTCTTTCGGATAAAGAAACTGCAATTGGTTTGATGCATGATATCCTGCAATTTTTATGGCTTTTCAGAGGTAAGGGTGTGTCTAAGACAACCTGACCTGCAGGACAGACATAACTAATTAAAATGTCTTTTCTTTCGTAACACAACTATTTTGTTAAATCACTAAATGCGCTAGAAAATACATGAATGAATAATTAAGAGAGAGAGAGAGAGAGAACAAACCATTGTACGTAAATGCTACAGAATGTTGTACCCTAGTATACACCCATCCTGTTGTCCAAAAAGGATCGTTGGCAGCATGTAAAAGTTGTTTCATAATGGATCCCAGATTAAAGCAGAGCTGCATGCAAACATAACAATTAAGGACAAGAAAAGAGATCTCACTGATACAAGGTCAGCAATCAACATTTTGGCATCAGCACAGAAGCATACCTCCTCCCACGTGGATTTTTCTAGACGGAGGTAAACTGTCAAAATGATACATCCTGGCCTTATGTAGCTTTCAATGTCTGTAGGACTGTGGGACAACCAGTCGAGAATCTGGATATTCAAAATATTTCATAAAATTGTTGTATGTGCGAGAAAACACAAGTTACATTGTGAAGAATTAAATCAAGGCACCAAATATTACCTGTGCTCGTAGAACAAATGGAAGATCATTTGGATCTTTTCCAAAGAGTTTAAAAACAATACGGTCCGTGCGACTCTGAAACATGGCAGAAAAAGAGTGGTTAAGAGATGTAACAGTGCAGTAACATTTTACACACTGGCCTTCATAATAAAAAATATTTAAAAAAGGATACTCAATTCTAACTGCCATAGCATGCAACCTCCTGTAGTTTAACTACAACTCTATAAACCTTATCAAGCAGAAGCATACGCACACATTTATACATACAAGGCACTATACAAAAGAAGAGAATCCATCTCAACTTTTACGTCACAACAGAAGTATTTATTAGGTATGCCGAGTACTTCATGTTTTTTCAATCAATTGGCTAGACGGACAAGTCAAATGCAAAGCATTGTCACCTAAATGCCGAATTAAAGTGAGAACAAAGCTATTCTTTTATCCAACAGAAAAGGACAGGCTATGGCATATACAAGCATTAATATATCGAGCAAAACGAGGAACGAGATGCAAGTACAACAAGAATATACCTGAGCATCTCCACTAGAACTTGATGAAGTTGAGCATGAAGTCCCACTTGTCTGAGGTGGGCTAGACTTTTGCGAATCATGCCGCATCCATAAGGGAAAACCATGAGCCACTGTCCCTGAATTTACAGGGGCATTAGAATTCCCTAGGTTGTCCAAATGGTCCTGGGAATCGTCATATGTATTATTTAAATCAATGCCAGTTAACTGCATCCTCCCCGTTGTAGTTTCTGGTGCAACTGATGTGGATGGAACACTGGCTCTTGAGGGAAATGGCTTGGTGGCATTTAGACCTGAAACAACTTGTAGACCTCCATGATCTGCATCAACTGAAGATATTCTCCTGAAATCTGATGCAGGTACTGTAGAACACTGTCGTATAGGTCTTGAAGGGTCCTCACGATTAACATAGTCATCCATTTTAGAGGCTGAAACAGAAGGCTTACTTGGTTCACAGCCGTTGGAAACTGTATCTGGGACCTTTTGTGCAGTCTGAATTGATGCCCCGCCATTTAGTAAACCTTGAGATGCTGTAAGCAATGCAGACATGTTTCTTCCATCAACGGTACCAGAAAGATTGGCTAGATTCTTCAAAAGATGAGATAGCAAATCCTGATCCTTTGTTTGATCTGAACTATTAGCTGCATTTTAGGCATCAAAAGTGGAGTCGAGTAAGACACTTATGAGAAGAAAAACAAACACAAACATAATCAATTAAATATTATAATAACATGATCGCTGAGACATAATTTCCTAAATAACAATTCCTAATTAGAATTCCCTTTAATAGCCCATCCTTCATGCATCCTAGAATGTGAAATATGGTCAATCCAACAATCAGAGAAAGAAAGTGCAAAAAACAAAGGTTCATAGGATGAAATTCAAGCACACAAGGTGTAATCTGGATTATAAAAATTGAAATATTTTCGACATGAAGGTCTGCACAAAATTCTAACTTTCTATCAAATCAACCTCTGAAAAACTGAAAACTTTTCATGCGTAAGCATCAATATTCAAATTTTCATCAAATTAAATTCAGAGAAACAAGCACTTTGTCATTTATACACAAAAATAGAGCACCTTAAGCAGTTAAGGACTCATCAAGTGATATGTCGTATGTTCACAAATAAAAATTTATGAATGGAGTTATTAAATGTTTATTGACATAATCATTTTGCTACAAGCCCCAATCAAATAATGACAAAACCTAAGAGCAAAAGACCACAAGAACTTTGACATCAGTCTATGGCAATCAACACACAATCCGGTAACCACTTAACATATCAATTTAATGTCTGGCAAAGCAGCCAAAAATTGAATGTGCAATAAGACAAAGATTTACAGTGCATGTTGGAGAGTATTCTCAGCAAACTAATCAATAGATAACTGCTTCCTCTTTCATCATTCAATGAGCCTCCATTAACTACGGTATCAGGATGTGTTTTTCTTCTCCTCCTATTGTGGCCTGCCAAACGTCTACGACAACTTCTCTTTCCTTCATCAAACTCTTGAAGGACATGAAACCTGCCCATGAGTATAACCACATTGCAAATTCAACAAAAAAGTTCTGCAAAATTCGACTATACCGAACACAGTGATGAACAACTATGGACCCAAATCATGAGAGCAACAAATAATTTTTTTTTCAAACTTACAAATCAAACTCTGTATTTCATCTTCTAGAAACAATGTATATAAGAAAGCGACGAATAAATGGCGTGGAACTTAACTGAAGAAAATTTTGAAATATTTCTCACCATACAAGGACAACCATAGAATTGAACTAACCTGCTACACTGCTGACAGAACCGCTGCAAAACATTTCCCACCACCGCTTTAGTTGCCTTAGAATGCATATCACAGACCTTATGTCTTCGGTGGTAATCCTTGGCATTGCTAAGATCAGCCTTACAGTCCTCCACCTGACAAACTGCTCGGTTTAAAGTAGTCCCAACTATCTTCGTCTTCTTCCCATTTTGTACCTCTCCTTCCATGATTGGGTAAGCTTGCCCACCAAGCTTGAGATTAAGAGACCCAACTTCATCATTTAGCCCTTCATTTTCTACAAAACTAGCCCTTCTTCTTTTCTCCAGCTCTCTTTTACCTTTCTCATTCCCAGGACAGATACCATCCGAACCAGAAGAAGAACTGTTGGACAAACCAGCAGTGGAGGGAGTTTCCGGCAGCCCAAGAGGAAACAACTGCCTGCTCCTACAATCAGATTGTACAGCATTCAAAGGACTAGCAGTAAAAAGATCTCCATCCCATTTCCAATCATTCAAATCCCATTCCAAACTCTTTTTGCCAGCCCCCTTCAAATCCGGCACCATCGGAACATAGAAATTCCGAGCTCTGCCTCCAAAAGCCTCCATAAATATTCCACAAAAACTTCAGAATTTTTATAACGCCAATAATCCAATTCCACGAGATATAAATCCCCAATTCAACGAATTAAAACAAACCCAGATATGAAACCTTCGATTTCACCCAGAAATCAATAAGTTTACACTACAAGACCATATCTTTCTGGCAATTATTCTCTATAGGTTCCCCAGAAATCCAAAAGCAGTACACTGTAGACCACATATCCACAGGGCTAAAACAACAGCTGAACATCTGCCCAAAATCCACAAATTTCCCACTTATGCCCTCAAAATCCGCACAAAATCAACACACTCAAAACCCATCAATTCCATCACAGCAAAGTTCCCAACTTTACAAACAAAAAGCAGCTTAAAATTTCAGCAGAAATAAATACCAAAGCAAAGAGAGAAACCTGCCGGTGACAGCTGAGCCGGTGAATTCTCTCAAGAGCGGCGGAGGATGTCTGAGATCGCCGGAGGAGGAGAGAATATAGGCAAACCAAAGCAACACATAAAAATGAGGAAAAGGTTAGGAAAAGGCCCTATCTCTGTGTATAAATGCGGTTTCAGTGGGGAGAGAGAGAGCTTTCATGGCATTTATTTATTGATAAAATTATATGACGCAGTGGGGGCAAAGGAATCTACGCCTACACAACCGCGTGTACGTCTGTAAAAAAATACCAACAGAGCTCTCGTGCTGTGTTTCTCTCCGTATAGAGAGAGAAAGTGTACGAGAGAGAGTGTGTAGAGAGAGAAAGTAGAGAGAGAGTGTGCTCTGTACTGCTGTGGCCAATGGAAGTTGAAGAGCTGATTGGTAATTCAGAAACGTTTCTGTTTTTTTTTTTTTTTTTTTTTTTAACTTTAATTTTTATTGATCGAGTGAAAAAAAAACGGGGGGTTTCCAGCAGAAGACGAGCGGAAGTGAGTGACCGGAGTTTTAAGCTACGGCTGCGTGCAAGCGCGACAGATGTCCAGGATTTTACCGCGACTTTTTCAAAATTAATAAAAATAAATAACAGCCTTCCCCAGACAAACCCTTTTTTTTTTTTTTTGTTTAAGATTAAACACGTAAAAAAAATAATTGGTTCAACTAACTACCAACATTAATGGACAGAAATAGTCTTTTAAGCTTAAAACCAAACCAACCCGCCGACACCTATGAAGACCAAATCATTTTAAATCAAAATTTCAAAAACCATTTTCATACTAGAACCAACAAGTTTTTCGTCTCATAATATCTCTTACATCACACACTACTTACGATAGTAATGTTGAAAAAGCTCTGCATTTTAACCATAACGCAATGCACGGAAAATTAAAAATCATATGCATTAGGGTACTAGTTGATCTTATTATCAATTTTCTTTTGAGTTTCAATCACAATGAAGTGTGAGAGATGCAAACGTAAAATAACTTTTGGGTAGCACTTGCTTTGTTAAATGCTAACATGTAAAAGTTTTACATGAGGTATGCAAACAATACCACACCTTATTTGAAGCAAGAGAAAATGGGATATATTTGACATTCTTTTTGAAACGGTTAAAAATACTTTCAGATAATTGAAAGCGATTAATATAGTTTGAAAAAAAAAGAGAATTAATATAGTTTGAAAGAAGAAGAAAAAACTTCTAAATACTTACAAGTACGTTTTACTGCTTTCTAGAGGTAGATGCTCCAACAAGATGTACTTGAATTTTCGATAAAAATTTGTAGCGTTTTCAATAAAAATGTGTCTTACAAAAACGTCCCTTGACGGATCTGTATTCTAGCTATCTTGCAACTAATTTACCTCAAGTTACTTTGGGAGTGATGATGTGAACAATACTAGCAACTTGGTTAACTTAACCACAAATTCTTAGATTTCATAACTTATTCGTAGGACAATGTAAGATGATAAGAACTCATCGAAGCTTAGTGTTTTTTGTTTCGTACAGTGGGGTTGTTTCTTTCTTCCTTGTAGCTATCATTACTAACAATATGTCACATTCTTTTAAAAATTACCACCTGGCTTCGCTTAAGCCTGCCTAGACGCTAGGCAACTAGTCATCGCTTTGATTAATCCTTGGACGTTTGAAAACTAAGAAAGAGCGTCTAGACCTGCGTAGGCGCTCGCCTAGTTAATAACTCTCATTTAGATAGAAAATAGATAACTTTCATTTTACATTTTATTTTTTCAATAAGTTGTAAGAAACTTGTTGAATATTGGGATGAACACTCATTATATATTTATTCCCCATGTTTTCAGTTCTAATACTTTATAATTTGTATGCCGTTCCATTTTCCAATTAATGTATCCCAATACAATTGTATTTTTTTAAAGTATAAGTAGATATTTATTTATATATTATATAAAAAATTAATTAAAAATAAAAAATTGCCTAGACCCCCCTAAGCGACAGACCTCTACCCGCTACCAGACTAGTACCTTTGAAAAACTTGTATATATTAGTTTACTAAATTCACCTCGACTTTGGGAGAACAACAGTGCATTTGGCCAAATCATGTAAATTACTCTCATGATCGACAAAAAGGGTGGAAAGCCACCGTCTTGTGGACCATGTTAATTTAGTATTATAGCGAGTACTCTTCTGTTGCCTTTGGGGATAACCATGTGATAGGAACCCATCCACTGCATCCAAGGTACGAGTACGAGAGGTTTCTTGGTTTTTGTGACTTACATATACACCTCAAATTCTAAGAAAAATAAAGACCTTATCTTTTGATATATAGAGAGTTGCTTTGCCCACAAACACACGTTACGATCGTATGTCAATTATACATCCGTCAGTTACAATGAAACTCACATGAAGCAACAACTAACAATCAATCGTCCGCCTTCGTCTAGTAAAAGTTGAGATCGTAGAACTTGTTAAAATGTAAAGCACAATTTGTGAAACTATTGACCTTAAAAACTATCAAACTCACTTGCGTGTAAACCAAATAATTAAGAGATAATTGCATCATTATGATGAATGCGGTCGTGATAACTCGCCATCGAACTTGGTCGATTAGTAGAATGATGTGGTAGTAGTGTCAAAAAGGTTGTTAGTCACTGTGAAGTTCAGGATCTTTTGCACCAAGTTTAGCCACATCGACTATATTTGTGAAAATATAAGTGCGCTGATCAGTTCGTTGTTAAACTGTAAGGATACTTGTACTCGAAAGAGATAAATGTCTTGATGGTAAATGTTGTTCAACTGTCAGAATGCCAAACTCTGAAATGTACCAAGAGTAACCAAGCATAAAACACTTCACTTGGTTGGAAGCTAGTGAAGTGACCTCGTTCGGTTAAAGAATCAAGGACTCCTCGTCGGCTGAGACTTGGATAGATAATCAACCGAGCTTGAAGTAGTTAGGAGAGTGGAGAGTTAGTGATTTCTCAAAGTGTGAGTTAATGAGTTCTCTGAGTGTGAGAAGTGTTCGCCTAGAGCAAGATTTGCGCAAGGCATATTTGTGTGTTAAGTTGAAGGTTCACTTCTCGTTACACGGTCTCTTGTATTTATAAGACTTATACGCTTGAGCGTGTTGTAGAGTCCATACCGTGGCTACCAAACGCCTTTTGATGATAAACCGAAACCATCTTTATCTTAATTAACATTGAGCATTCTATTGGGAATAATATTATCAAATTGACCAAAAAGAATAATATTATCAAATTGGCCAAAAGGATAATATCATAAATGGATGGAACTATCTTTTATCTTTTCTTCACTCAGCCAAGTTGGAAAATCCTTGTCATCACTTGAGTAAGTCTTTATCAACAAATGGATCTCCAACAAACAATCAGTAATGGATAATGCACGGTTTTCTCTATTGAATTCAAATCAGCAATAGTAATATTTAAGAAAAATATTAAATTCAACTGCCTCAATTAAACAGATCAATGATATAAAATCGGATCCAAACAGAAACACATTATGTTTATGATTTAGCCTAATTTATGTTTTGGACCAAAATATATAAACTGAGAGAATCAATACACAGAAAAGACCATTAGGTGAGATAAGACTACGTACTACTACTATTGGATAAGAATAAAGAGGCTTTTGTAACAAGAATGGCACATTACATTCGGCAAACCCGATTCTTTTGGTTTTCTCGACCCGATTTACTGGTTCAAATGTCCACTCCTAGGTAGTGAGTTAACAACACCACAAACTTCTGGCTTTAGTTAACTTCAAAGAAAATTATGAAAAATGTTTGAGTTCTATTATAAAATTAATTGATAATATGGGTATTAGTGTATCTTATTTGTCCATGCAAGTTTCCTTCTTTGTAATGTAGGATTAATACTCTCAATACGTCTCATCATGTGACGAATTTTTAAGTCTAGCACATAGACAAAACAAAATGAGTGATGTGAAGCATGTATAGCTGTTGGGCTTCACACATGAAACAACATACTTTAATATCATGAATAAAATTGAGATTTCAATATAAAATTAATTCATTATATAGCTAGTAGCCCAACTTACAAAGACCTTATGTCTATTCATATCTAGAGGGTTGTTTTACATATCTTCACACAAACACACGTGCATGAACGACTGTCCATCAATTATACATCTGCACCAAATAAAGTGAATGCCTCAACAATTGAGAATCATCTACATTCCAATTAATCTATTGTACATTGAAACCTTCAATTTTGTCAACATAATTATTCTACTTAATGTAAAGGGAATTATTATTAGCACTTCAAAAATCTCATTTGGCACTCCAAACTTTCTATAATTAGAAAGAAAAATACACTTGTGAGGAGTGTAGAATAAGATTTTTGGAGTGTTAATAACAATTCCCAATGTAAAACATACATTTGTGAAAAATATTATGTTCATAATTTAACCTAATTTCTATTTAGGACCAAACAATGGCCACTTATCAATTGAGAGAATCAATTGAAACAAAAGGGTCAGTGCGATAAGACTACCACTGCTACGTACTACTGTAGGTGTTGGAAGTATAAGAATAAGGAGACGGCTTTTGTTACACAAATGTCACATGTTGTACGTTGGTATTTCAAAAGAAAGAGATGAATACTAAACTCAGTCGTTCATTATTTATAAATGCATCGACATTATACCGTCACCAGAAGCGGTGGGGTGACCGACTAGCCCAACACCTACCTTGGTTGGTGTTGGGTTTGCAGAACCAATGGGGAGGGAGAGCAGCAGAAGATAATACTATACAATGTCTCATGGGTTCACACACTCATCACAATGCAAACCTCTCTGTCTGTCTCTGTCGATCGTATGAGAATCCAAATAACTGTGCATATGAATATGATGCGGTCCCAGAGAGACCAAATGGTTGGCAGCTCATGTGCATGTTATGGAGGATGGAGCCTATTCCGGAACGTGGGCCAAATGCTACTGTCATGCATCCAATTGGGAGATGATTAATTAGGAGGTCTTTCTTCCTTCTTACTCAGCTTAATCATTATTATTTAATTTAATTAAAATTATATTAATTAATTTCAAGCTCTTTTGCGAGTGTAGGAGGGACCGAAGAAACCTGCTATGTCACCAAACTCATGCATGTTAGAATATTCAAAACCCTAATCTTATTTAAGTTTTAAGTTTCAAATTAATTTTGATTACATTAAAAGAGACGTATGTTCACTTGTATTTGCACATGGGTAGGGTTATGGCCAACATGAGGACTGCAGGATGGGTACATTACATAATTTGTCAATATTTGCGTAAAGATATAATTGTTACTCATAACCTTTCATTTTGTACACCAAATGGAGCCTACAAGATTTATGTGAACCAATATTCATATATTAACGACTGGTAATAACTTATACAGTTGGTTGGTTGATATGTACCATTTACTTTGTAAC